ATCGGGTAACAGAATTATTAAAAGTATTATCATTTAAGCGAAGGCCTTTGACCCAAGCTCTGCATCTCTCAGTTAATGGTAAATGAAAATCTACTGCATCTTGTCTATAAAAAGCATATTTTTCAAATTCTTGATGATCGCGCTTAGCAATAGCAACACCTTCCTTAGTTTCGGCATACTGAATTTTTACACCATGACTAAGTAATAAATCCCTTCATTCATCTAAATATTCAGTGCCTTTATCTATAATCAAAACTTTAGGCCAGGTAAAAGGGCAATTTGGATCCCCATAAATTTTTATAAATATTTTAGCTAATGATGCAAAAGACTTATTAGTTAAAGCACAACTCTTGCGATATCTAGTTACCACATCTTTTATTACTCCTCTATGCTTGAAAATTCGATTACCAATTTTATCATGAGGCATTGGGGTAGTATTGGATTGATGCACTTCATTTAAATCATGTATGTCATTAAACGATGCATATTGGATAAATTTAGGACGAGACTTATAGATCTGAAAAATGGCCTGTTTATTTAACCATTCTTTGATCTGAGTTAACGAAAAATTATAACCAGCTTTTCTGCAAGCATCTCTCATTTTTTCAGCAGTTCGATAATACCCTTCAGGTCGGTAATATAATTTTTGTAACGCAATATCTCTATCTAGCTCACGAGCCTTTTGAGTATTAATATAAATTACGGGTTCTCCCATTGTTTTGATTTATTATAAATAACAAAAATTCGTTATGGATGAATTAATACAAACAAACCAGGAACTCTATGAGGAAATCAAGTAATTAGCAAAATCAAACCGGAAATATGAGCGTCGAACATACAATCTTGAACGAGATATAGTCTTACGTGAAGAAAGGATCCGGTATCTTGAGGAGGAATTAGCAAATACAATCGAACTTTCAATACAAGAAAGGGAGGAATTGGAAAAAGAGATATCAGACCTAAAAAGATTGTTTACCAGCTTAAAAAAGAAATTGAGCAAAAAGACAAGGAGCTAGCTAGTAGAGAAAATCAATTAGCTGAATTTGATATAAGGGAGAAGAAACTCAAAACCCAAATTCGGGAAATATCCAAATCAGCAGGTAATACTCCTAAAGCATATAATCAGACGGCAAAGCTAATAGATGAGAATGAGCATTTGAAACGTGAAATCGATACTTTAAAATATAATCTTAGAGATCGAGACAATAAATTAGCTCAGAAAAAAACTCGTATAACTGATTGCATTGTCAAAATTTCAGTATTAGGTTATTGCATTATCGGGATAAATTAGAACTTATCAATACTCAAGAAACTTTACGTATTGCTAAGGCATGGAATATAGTTAATGAATCGAATTCAGAAGAAGATTCAAATAAAAATTCTCAGGATAGTTATACTTCCAATTCAGATATGACTACAATACCAGAATTAGCCGATGTCATAGAGGGTTATTTAGATAATACTAGAATAAACAGAACCATTTTAGCCAACCAAATAAAAAGAGCTACAAGGCAGATTCGACGAAAATATACAAATGATCAAACTTATTTAATAAATGAACAGCAACGATATAAAAGGTAGTTAAATACATGTCGTA